AGTGAGCTCATGGGCTCCATCAATCAACCAAGGGGCAGGCACAGACATTGGGAGCCCAGAATAGGAATCTGGGTGATGCGAGGTCCCCAGAGAAAAGCAACCCTTGCATTAGTTGCAAGGTAAGATGCAATGTGAAATGCTATGTCCCCTTTTAGATGCTTTGCAACCGTTGAACGTACAACATTTTTTTTATCAAGATAGAAAAGGTAAAGAAAGAAAAACTCCCAGCATTTTGGCCGAATGCAACCGAGCATGACTTGCCAATTGCGCCCCCCTGGTGCAAAAACCTAGTACTACACTATCTAGGGACTGGTCAAATTACCTTCACCCCCAACATTTTAGTTGGACTAAATCTATGAGTTCAGCTAAAGTAATATATAATGTACCCTGGAATCAGAGAAGCCCTGGGGGTTGGGGTGGGGGTGACAAGGATGGGCCAAGACTGGGGTCTCAAGTACAGGTGACCTCCTGGCCGTCTTGGGGAAGCTCGTTGTTGAAGCTGCTCTCTCCAAACGGTGAGTAAGGGGGCACCTGTGGAGCTTCGATGATCAACAGGCCCTCTGGGGAAAGCGAGGCAAATACTGTTGCAGGATCCACCTCTGCAGGAAGCCTAGGAGAAGCACAAGATTTTACTCATTTATTATTTTCATACAGCCTAAACATTCTTTTATTCCTTTGGAAGAAAATATTTTTGATAAGCGCTTAGGCTTTGGGGATATAAATGCTGGGTTTGAATCCCGGCTCTGCCTCTTCCTAGCCGTGGGCGTGATCTCGGGAAGGTTACTCAATTATCCCAAGCTTGCTGTCTCTTCTGCAAAACGGAGATCATAATATTAAACGCATACCATATTTGGAGCTTTAAAGTTCTTTGCAAAGAATCTGAGCATGCTTTGCAAATGGTAATATGCTGCTCCCACAGTAACTTACAAGGGAGCTGTGGCCCACGTGTTTGATCCTAGGTTGAGGTCTCCACTTAGCACCCACAACTGACCAGCTGCCGGCAGGCATGGCCACCACTACCGTCCCCTTACAGAGCCTAAGGTGGGACTCAGCAGGTGGCGCTTTTTTATCTTGCACGTGCCCTACGGGTGGAATTAATGGTGGAATTAGGCAACTTGGCAGATAAAGGCAGCCAGGCTGGCTACATGGCTAGACTTCAGATGCCAACATCCTCTGTGAGGTTCAGCATGAGCTGTGATTTGGGGCACATCTTCAGTATTTTGCAGTAGGTGATCACTGTTTTGTTCCCCAAACACGTGTATAGGCATTGCCTGGTGAGAGCTTTACAGTGGGCCTAGAATGGTTAATAGGAATTAACATGCCTGTTGCATAGAACATTTAATGGAGACTCGGGGAAATTAAATGACAGGCTCAGTGAGCGAGCACCAAAGATGAGGTTTATGAACCCAAATCCAGTGTCAGTTCTGAAGCTATTTTTGTGAGTTTGGGAGTGTTTGGGGTGAACGAGTCTATCTGGGACAGTTTCTCAACAAACTATGGAATTGTGAGAACATGTAATGACCTCTTTGGGGTGTCATTATTAATAAAAACAACAAAAACGAGGGCCTCGGAGCATTTTCTGTGTGCCAGGTACTTCACCTGAGTCATCTCCGTGAGTTGTTAACAATAGACCCACCAGGTCAGTAACTAGCCCTAATTCACAGATGAAGAGATGGAGGTCAGAGAGGTGAAGTGATTTGCCCGAGGTCACACAGCTCATAAGCGGCAGATGGGAATGGAATTGGAATCCTGGTCCCTGAGCTCACAGTCGCTCACTGAGATGCTCTCCTTGCCTCTCTGGCAGCAGGCTTTTGAAAAAAAAGGACGGGGGGTGGGCTACAAGGTTCAATCGCCACAGAGCATTCCTGGCCCAAGCTGGCTCTGCCTGTTGTAAAAGCAAAGTCACAACCGGTCTTGATGAAAGAACAGAGAGGTGAGGCAAGCCCATTCCCGGGCCTGGGCAGGACCCTTCCTGGGGGGGCTGGGGAGTGTTTTGCTGTGAACAGCAACCTGTAGCCCCCTGAGCCGCATCTACCCAGGAGACGCCTGCCTGCCAACTTGGAGCCACAGACATTAACAGGGGGCCTGCTGGGAAGGAGGGAAGGGACAGAGGGAACCTGGGCAGCTGCCAAGTCAAGCTTCTGAAGCAGAGACAAGGCCAAAAGTTTGGACCTCCCCCTGGCTGCTGGGGATGGGCCAACTCTGCTTAACCGTTCACATGCCAACCCATGGGCACCTGGTACAGTGCGGCAGGGTAGCCGTGGTCCAGAGCCTGGGCATGGCAGGCAGGCAAACCTGAGTTCAAATTAAGACTCTTCCTGATTGTGTGACCTTGAGCTAGTAATCTCACCTCGCTGAGCCTATTTCCTCCTAAGAAAAGGGGTAATAAAAGCATCTGCCTCTTGGGGTGATGTGAGAATTGCGTGCCTGGCGTATGTACAGAAAGCGGTCACTAAGTGTTGGCTTCTGCGTTGCTATGAAGTCATGGGCCCTACAGGTGGGCGCCTCACAGCCATGGCTATTTCGGCACGAATTGCCGTATCATTGAACCCTGGGATGTCAGCGCCCCAAAGAATATTCATGATGGTCCAGGATAACGCTCTCAGTTTACACCTGGGGAAACTGAGGCCCAGAAGTGGGAACAGACTCTGTCAAGGTCTCTGACCAGGTGACCTGGTTTGGAGATTTTAATAAGGTTAGTTCCCATGGACCGAGCCCTGAGTCTGTACCCTGTGCTAAGTGCTTCACACACACCCTCCCATGACCCATCACCACCCATCCATGGGAAATGTGGGAACAGCAGCTCAGTTTCCATGGAACCAGGACTCCCTGCACCCAGGGCGGCGATGAAAAGATTTAACAACAGGCAGCTGGATGCTGACCAACCAGAATGGATGGATTCAGCCATGGCGACGGGGAGGTCCTAGGGACCCTTTAGTTGCTGGGATGTGGGGGACTTTGGAGGGTCCTGGGACAGGATCAGGATGGGTGGTTGGCTGCTGAGGACACTTTGGGGGGACGTTGCTCAGGGCAAAGGCTAGTGCAATACGGTAACAACTAGCCCCGCTCAGCTGCTGGGCCCAGCTGAATAGCAGCCCTGCCTCCGGCAGCTTTAGGCTTTTCTATCTGGCAAGGAACTCCCAGCAAGCTGTTTCCCCGGAGGCCCAGAGAAGGAGAAGTCCCCGACAATGGCCATCTCTGTAAGATTAGTCGGCTCCCTTCTTCCCAGCTCGGCCCCTTTCACAGCTCGGCCCTGCCTGTGACTCCATCCCGACACCTTGTTTGCGCCTCTGGAAAGAAACATCAGCTCCCTCCCTCTCCTTTGCCCTCTCTTTCCCCTCTGGGATCTGGCTGTACCACCGGGAGGTGTGGGTCCTGGGGATGGCAGGCCAGCCAGTGGGCGCCAAGGGAAGCAGTGTGGCGTTTGCCTTATCGGGAGGTGTCCACAGCTTTCAGGAGCCAGAGGCACCGGCGGAGCAGGAACGGACACGTGGGGGGAGATAGGGGACTGCAGAGCCCCGGCGCCCACAGCGGCCTCCTGCGGGCTGTCAGCCAGAGCTGGGCTGGGGCTCAGATGCGGGCACAGCGACAACAGCAACACCCGGTCGCCGCCCAGGAGGCCCTGCTGCGTCCGATCACTGCGCACGACCTCACTGTATTTTCAGGTGGTGAGTTCACAAGGCGGAGTTCAGGGATCTATTTGGGGCTGTTCTAAATTCTAACTCTGAGGACCTCGGCTGTGTCCTTTCAGCTGTGGGAGACTCAGTTTCTCCACCCTGCAGGGAGGGTGCCGTCTCTTCCCTCGGTACATCCTCGCTGCAAAGGCTAAATGCAACCATGATGGACAGAGACTTTGGGCCAGAAGTACACGTAGTGGGGTGATGCTGCTTTGAGACAAGGTGCGTCCGTGGGGCACCGGGCCCTCACTGCCCCTCCTTCCCGCAGGGGTTGCCAGTAGGGCCTCCGCGTGGCTTGGACCCATCAGCTGGGCCTGCTGGCTTCACCAGGCTGCTCACATGATTCCTTTGCTGTGACATTTTTTCCCCTTCAGGGTGAGGGTTCAATTCCCTGCCCCAGGGGTAGGGGGAGGTGAGGGGTGTCTTAGAGATGCCCAAGAGGGTACAGACCCCCAGATCTGCGGTCCCAGGCACCTCCCCCGCCCCCTACTCCCACCTGGAAATCCACCCCCCGGGTTACTTACTGGATTTTCTTTGTGAAGTTCTTGGACACGATGCCGCCTTCATGCTGCTTCTCTTCATGTTTGCCTGGAGGGAGAGGAATGCCACCCGTCAGGGTCTGAGTCCCTCGGGCCTCCACCGATGAGGACCCAGGCTCGCGTGGGAACCCTGGCCCCGTCCCTGCCTCATTGGGTGGCTTCTGGCTTGATCTCGAGGCTCCAGCTGTCTGAGCCTCGGGTCCCTCCCCTGAACCCACCTCCCAGGCTGTTGAGAGGTTGAACTAAGACAGTGGACAGGACAGGAGGCCTTGACCGCAGTTTGTAGACAATTACGTGTTCGTCTTAGGAAACTGGGCCACGTGGTGCATTGTCTCTTCTAAGTCTTGCCTTGGCCACCACTTGCTCCCCTCAGCAGCCTGGAGAACCCCGAGGCTTGCATCCCAGAGAGGGTGAGAGGAAAGCAGTAGGACTAGTTTGCCACCCAGCCGGCTTCACAACTCACGGAGCCCTTTCCCGACTCCGTGGATGGGCTCCTTCCTCCCTTGGTTACTGATGTGGAAACTGAGGCCCAGTGCTGGGCCCAAGGCCACCCAGCAGGTGCATGGCAGCCCTGGGCTCTGAACCAGCTGTGTGGGAATCTCAGCCAAGTGCTGGGGTCCCATGCGTCTGTGCCCGTGCCAGCTTCCAGTTAGTTCCCAGAGTCATATTACCTGTACCTGGTACTGAGGGGACCACCTGGAAATAATGCTTTAATCTGCTAACGAAAACCACCCAGATTCCCCAAAGGGGGCTCTCCTTAGGAAGTGGCGTTAGGCACCATGGGTGGGAAATTCCACACACACCCCCCCTACAAGGAAGGTGGTTTGTTTGTTTTTTCCTTAGGAAGGAAAAATGTGAAATTATGAGGAGGCCTGAGCCCGAACTGGCTCTCACCTTGAAATTTAATAACAAATTCTGGGCCTCACGGCCCTTCTCCTTTCTTATTTTTTTAAATGGAGAGTGTCTCTCATTTCTTTTTAAACAAAGAATTAGTGCCCAGCAGAGGCAGTCACCTTCTCACTTGGGGGGGCCACATTCCAGGGCCAGGAACCCTCATTTACACAGCGACGCCCTTCTGAGGGGCTTGGGAATCTGGACTGTGAATAACCTTGTGGGATATAGTGATTTTGTGCGGTCTAGGTTTTGAAAAACTGACAACTTATAGGTGATTACATTATTAATTGCTTTTTTATTACTCATTACCCTTTTCTTAATTACTTTTTCCTGATTACAAGATAATGCATGTGTGTGTGAGAAAATGTAGAAAATAAAGGAAAAAAATCCATTAAAACCACCCCTGATCCCACTGCCCTGAGAAAACCACTGACACTTTTTTATATGTCCCAGACTTTTCTTTCTGTTACTTAGAAATGCATAGATGTTATATAGTATAGATGTACATCATATAGTTTATCAACTGGGATCACAGTGGACGGCACACTTGAAACCTGTTTTCATGTCTTGCTAACACATTATGATTCTTTTTCTGTGTCACGGCCAATACCCTTGGACACGATTTTTAACGGCGTTCGCTGCAGGGATGTATAAGGTCATGCAGCCAGTCCCCAGCTTTTGGGCACCGAGACAGCTCCTGACATTGGAAAGAATCTCACTGCACTGAACATTCTTGCGGCTCGATCTTTTCACCCGACCCGATGGCTTCTTTAGGATAAATTCCAAGTTCTAGAATTTCCAAGCTGGATCTGTACCGCTAACCGCCCAGCTGGGCCGAGAGGGTGCGTTCATAGGAAACCGTTTTGAAACTGGAGTGTTGGGCTAGCAGAGCGTGCTATTCCCTGAATGTGCTGATGCTCCGGGACTTTATTCTGACCTGCCAAGCCCATGGCCACCAACTGCCCAGCTCTAACACCGGCGTGTGGCCAGAGGAGTGCTGTGCGCTTCCTGGTCCCCTCCCCGAAGCCTGGGCCTCTGGAGGCCTGCTTCCCTTGGGGACAGGCCAGTGCCTCTGACTCAGCCCTTCTGCGCACTGGCATCCTGGAAATAATAGCAAACTCATACAGCCCTTTCTTGGTGTCAGCCACTGTCCTAAGCACCTTACCGATATCAACACCTTTCATTTTCCCAACGGCCTTCCAAAGCAAGTCCTTTTATTCTTACTATTTTGTGGTTAGGGAACAGAAGTTCAGAGAGGTTAAGTGATGTGCCCAAGGTCACACAGCTTGGGAGAGCTGGGCAGGTGCGTGGGTTCCGGACTTGAGTCCCTGCTCTGACACTTGCTGGCCTATCTCTACTTTCCTCCGAGCCTCAGTTTATTGCTCTCTAAAATGGGGGTGACAACAACGTCCTAATTAGTGGGTTACTGGGAGGAGCACGTGAGAGCGAGTCACAGAATTGCTTTGTAAGTTGTAAAAATACTGTGTGAAGATAGACACTGGCAGCTTATTTTGATGTTTGGGGACAGGACTGCTCTCAGAAACTCCCCCTCCCTGTCCATGCTCCAAAAATCAGGGGGAGCCGGGGGAGGGGGTTCATCTGGTTGAAAGAAGGTGTTAGGAGTAGCTTAATTTGCATATCACTTGACTATTTAGTAGGGGCAGTTGAAGGATTTTTAATTTCTTATTTTGCTTTGCTGTTTACATTTTCTACGTGGAAATAATTTGATTTTTGTAAACACAAAAATGTAATTATTGTGATTAAAGAAAAAAAAAAAGACAGAACTCATCTGAAGGCCGGGGACGCTAGAGGCCCCTGGCAGCCTGAGAGAAATGTAGGCATCAGCACTCCGGGGACAGCCATTGGCCCAGCTAAAGAAAGAAGCGCTGTTACCAGGGGAGGCAGAGGCCCTGGGATTGAGGAGAAGGGGTGGGCATAAGGTCTCGGGGGTTTTCCAGTCCCTTCCCTGGCCAGTGGCCCAGGAAGGGAATGTTTTTTGGCTGGTGGCTGCAGGGTGGGGGGTGGGAGTGTGTGAGGCACGATGGAAATCTTCTAGTCCAAACACTTCCCTGGAACCCGACACTCACATGTGCTCAGATAAGGCAAGGCCACCTCTCAGAGATTCAGAAACCGCATTAGCAAACTCAAGGCTCTGATAAGCTCCATGGCGAGCAGACCTGGTTATAATTTTGTTTCATCTGGCACCTTCTGGAATTCTGGACCCTGTCTCCATCCATTTCTCAGATGCCTAGTGACAGCTGAAAGCACACTGCTTGGCAAAGACTGACCCAGTCCACCTTCTCATAGGCCAGTGGCAAAGCCGAGGGTTGGAGGTGGTAGGTAGGATTTGCCCAGGGCCACACATGGAACTGGGAACTGACTCAATTGGCCTGGCTTTGAATTTCAGACGTTGCCATGGAGAAGTGGGTGATCTGAGGCAAGTTCCTCTCTCTGGGCTTCTGTTTCATCATCTGTAAAATGGGTGTAACAAACCTACCCATATTTCCTTATAAGTCCATGTGAGGAACCAGTGAGCCAGCCTACGTAGGGATTTAGCATGGGGCCCCACAAGGTGCGTGGGGGAGAACAGGTTTGTCATTATGTGATGCAGGACGGGAGACTGGCCTTCTGACTTCCTTTGAAAGTTGCATTTTAGATGGAGCCTCTGCTGTCAGTCTGATTTTTCAAACCTCTTTTATGAGAGGCTCTGTATGTCCTCTCAGGATCTGGATTCCATCAAGCCGAGGTTGCTAAGTGCACACCCGTGAGAATTTTACAACCTGAAAAGGCTTTGTCTGTCCTTGTCTTAAGTTCCCCAATGACCCCATTTTACAGATGTGGAAACTGAGGCTCCATAAGGCATTCAAAGCCTCTGGATTAGCGAGGTACTTGGCTGGGGTCTCAGCTTGGAGCTGCCAGGAGGGTGGAGGAAAAGCCCCTAGGCTGGACAGGATTCACCTGGAAGGGCCACAGGCCATGGGGGACCCTCCAAGCTGGGGTGGAAAACTCTGGAACCCTAATTAAAACAAAGACAGAGAGAGTGGGGATGACAACCACTCTGTTTCCAGAGCACCATCATTAGCTCCATTTACAGACACTCTGCATTCATTACATATCGTCTGCATATATTGAATCGTCCCTACAGCCTTATAGGATAGATATTATTATGATCCCCACTCTGCAGACGAGGAAACTGAGGCTCAGAATGGTGAAAAGACTTTCTTATCCACATTTGTCCAGAGCATGACCAGCAGAGCCAGGATTTGAACCCAGGTCTCAAAGACCATCTACCATTTATGATTTGTTGGGGCTTTACTGTGCGCGGCCGACATTTTAACAGCATCGGCTTCAGTAACGATACTGAGCCCGTTGTGTTTCAGGCACTCTACCCACACCTGGGACCTGTCACCTCATCTAATGCAATAATCCTCATACTGTTGGAGCCCTTTGAACCCCAATTTCCAGATTAGGAAACAAAGCCGAGAGCCCTTAAGCCCTTTGCACAACCTGCTGGTGGGTGGTGGAGGCAGTTGTGGAACTCTGGCCCGGTTCCCGCATTGCGGAGCCCTGGCCGACCCCCTCCGCCAGCACGTGGCCCCAGCCTGACTCCGGCGGCCACACCCGCCAGAACCTCTGATGTTTAGATTTCCCATCTGCCAGGCTTTGAAGCTCCCCCTGAACGCCGCCCTGCCGGGGCCTGTCCCTGCCCAGCCTAGCCTGTGTTTGCCGTGGCTTTTATTGATTTTCTGGCCGGCAGAGCCTGCTGGGGAACATGCTCATTTTAATGGAGCTTTAATTGCGAGGGAAGCGACAGAGCTTCTCCTCCCTCCGCTGCGCAGCCTCACGGGGGCCGAGACCGCATCCAGCCTCCTGTCTCCCGGAGCCGTGGGCAGGCCCAGACTCTTCCTGCTGCTGACTCACAGCATGACCTTGGACGAATCCCGCTGGGTGTCGGCCGCAGCTTTGAAATGGGACTCGGCACCTCTGCCTCTCAGGGCTCGAGAGAGGAGTATTTGGGGGAAGGAATATGAGTTTTCGCCCAGCCCTTCCCACCCAGTAGGTGCTTAAATGGCCAGTTCTCTTCCGGCCTCCAATTCCCGGACGGCCTGGATTTGAGTCTTTGGTGGCCTTGGGAGAGTCACCTTTGCCTCCCTGTGCCTCAGTTTCCTCATTTGTAAAAGGGGGAGACCAACAGGACCCCTGTCCTCTGGTCGCATTACCTGAGATGCTACGGAGGAAGCGCTCAGTGCGGGTCTAGCAGACTGAGCTCCGTCAAGGTTACCAGTCAGTGTGGTTAAAATGGCCATTAAGCCTCAGTTTCCTTGTCTGGGATGAGGGGAGCGTTTCCCTGGAGACCTGGGCTGGTTATTAACACTAGCAACACTCCACGTGAAACACGCCCTTCTAAGCTATGTTGTGATGCTGGGGTGCAAGGAACCCCACTTCCCCTTCTATGCCTGTTCGCTCCTTCCTATGAAATTCCCCCTCCCAGCACCCGACGTGGTTTCATTTCCCTGCCTGCTCTCTGATGGACACAGCGGCCCAAGGCCCCGCAGCTGGGCCAGGGGGAGATCTCTCCTGAAGCCGGGAGAGGAGGGCTCTTCCCTGGAGGTAACTTCTCTGGACTGCATTCCTGAGCCCTGAAGTCACCTGTGTCCTGCTGTCACAGCTCTCCCTCTAAGGAGAAGTCCTCTCGGCTATTCCCAGGCTGAGGCCTGCAACCATCCCCTCCACCCCCGCCCCTCCTGTCTCCCTCCTGATCCCCACTCACCAGACACCTCCACGTATCTGTCCTTGGTCTTCACCATCAGCTCCTCCGGCTTGAAGCTGTGCACGTTGACACACACTTTCCAGGGCTCCCCAGGGAAGGGTGGGGGGCTCCTGCCGTCAGCAGGTACCCCAAACCTGCCCGTGGCAGTCGGCACCCGGGGCACCGTGCCCGGCCTCAGGGGTCCCGGCCAGGGCGAGGAGAGCCGAGGCAGGGCCCAGTCGGGCCAAGAGGCAGTCAAGTCGTCGGGGAAGGGGTCCATGCCAAAGCCATCGTCCAGCAGGCGGGAGGAGAGCGGCGAGTCTCGGAAAGGGTCTCGGCGCAGGCGGCTGGGGTAGTGGCAGGGGAAGGGCATCTGACCATCTGCCATGGTGGATGCCGAGCTGGAGCGCAAACGGAGGCTCAGAGAGAGGGAGCCACCTGCCCAAGGTCACACAGCAAGGTGATGTGGGCGGGCTAGCCTTCCAGGCTTATTCTTCAGCTTCAAGAACAGCTAAACCATCCACTGCCGAGGCTGGGGGCACACACCAGGCTGGGGTCCGGACCCCCAAAGACACTGCAGCCTGCAGAGGCGACTGGAGGCTGGTCTTGCAGATTCCCAGAGAGCCAGCCCCTGTCCACACCGCCTCAGCAGAGATCCGCCAGCCTCTGTCCTCTCAGGCTGTCCAGGCTCAAAGCCAGAGACGCCAAGGTCTAGAGTGGAGCCAGGAGCTTAATAACCCTGGGGACGCAGGCCTAGAAACTTCTCCTGGCTTCTGGGCTGGGAGCCTTTTATTTATAGCTGCTAGGGGCTGGAGGCGGGTTTTGCAAGTGCCTCCCGTCACTGGAGTATTCGGAGGTGATGAACTAGCCCCAGAGATCCGTGGAGGGCTGGCCGGGCTCCCAGGGGCCTGGGAGGGGCCTTCAGGCCAGTTCCGCCCGCCTCGGGGACAGTCTCTCCGCCCCCAGCTCGGCTCTGCCCCGCCCTCCCCGGAGCCGCCCTCCCGGAGCGGGGCACTCAGACCTGGCTATTAATATCCCTCTGCCTGGCCCGAGGCTCAGGTCACCCTCTGCAAATACTTTCCCCAGAGCCTGCTGCATCCTGCCTCCCCCCTGGGGACCTGCAGAAGGGGACAAGAGATCCGGGGGCCCAGTGGATTGAAGGCAGATGGCCCTGGGCTGGAGTCCCCACCTACAAGCCCTGGAGCCTGCCTTCAGCGTCTGCCGAGGGCCCTCACGTTCCCGGGCATCTCTGAGCTACCAGTTTTCCCACCTGTAAAATGGACCTAACAGCCTGCCCGTGGGTGTGGCGCGAGGAAACCACGCTTAGCAGACGGGCGTGTTGTCCTCTCAGTGTTGAGCTCTCAGTCACACCGCGCCCGCCTTGTGCCCGGCCCTGTTCTAAGTGCTCCGCAAACATGAATCTGCTTTCCCCTCGCCGACAGCCCTGAGACCTAAGGAATTAGCACTACCCCCCTTTACTGATGAGGAAAGTGCCATAGGACGTGGCAACTAACAGTGGCTTCTGTCATTTTTATTGACTGTTAATAATGATCCTTATCAACAGGTGCGGTGTCGGGCCTGAAACGTGAGGCCCAGAGAGGACCTGTTCCCTCAACTCTCGTGGCTGGCGATTGACTTTACAAATCCTCCTTTGACCAGAAGGGTCCTTGAGCTTGGGGTCCCGTCTTTGATCTGCCCCCAACAGGTGGGCAATCTGAGGCGGGCCATTCCCTCTGCGGGCTCCTGGGTCTCAGCCCTGCCTTCCCCGTGGGGTGGGATGGGGTGGGGTGGGGGTGCTAAGGAATTCAATGAGTCATTGGCTGAGAAATCGTTCTGATGTTAAGCAGCGCCTGCATGAGGCAGTTTGCTAAAAATACTGATATGAAGAGTACCAACACTCACCATCCCGTAGTGCCTCTGTGTACCTACCACTCGAGAGCAACTGCAGATATTGCCTCATGAAGCCCTCACAGCAACAAGGGGGTGTTGCCACCGCCCCAGTTTTGCAGGTGAGGAAACAGAGGCACAGGGTTAGGCCCGTGCACAGGGCTATGGGGCGGCAGGGCCTGGGAGGGGATCTAGGTTGTTCCGAATCTCTGATCGGTGCTGAGCTGACTGACCCAGACCCCCACCCTCCTCACCCTCCAGCCAAGAGAGGGAGACTGAGCCCCCTGCCCTGTGCTGCCACATCTGAGTGACTGGGTCCCCACTTGACTAGGGGTGAGATCATCAGGCTAGAAGCTTCAGGCTGACGTCACAGCTGGGCACAGAGGCCTCAGCTCTCTCTGTAATTACTGCAGGGGCGAGGCTGGCTGGTTTCGAGCCAGGATGGGGAGGGTGACTGCGTGACCCAGAGGGGAAAGCTGCCTGGCCTGGGACCTG